GGTTAGGATTTTAGAGAGTATATGATTAAAAGGAACTCCAGAAAGTTGGAATATGGAATAATTGCAGGATCCCCTATAATTTACCTTAAAGGGATTATGATAATGATATTCCAACTTTCTGGCTTCTACTGTATTGGGTTCTCGGACCCTTGGGGTAGCACATTTGGAGGTCCAGGGTTTACTAGGTTGGAGTTTAGGGTTTAGGGTTTAGGGTTTAGGGTTTAGGGTTTAGGGTTTAGGGTTTAGGGTTTAGGGTTTAGGGTTTAGGGTTTAGGGTTTAGGGTTTAGGGACATTGGTTATTATCCTTATTTGGGTTTATAAGAGACCCTATATATAAATATTTGTTCAGGGTGTTTAAAGGCCAACCCAGTTTAGGGTTCGGGAGTTCAGGGTTAAGGTTTCGGAGCTGGTCGGCGAGGGTTCTTAGGGAATGGTCAGGGTCGTGTTACTTTTGTTTCGGACTTAGGATCCGAATTCTGAAATCCGACGCCTTCCTCCAAACCTCTAGATCCGAGCTCTGAACCCTATATAGTTGCAATTCGACTTCAAACCATTGAGGACGTTTTGGAATCCAATTGCCCGTGTGGGCATGTGTATATCTACATATATACGTATGATGTACATCTCTGTGTGTGTGTTTGTGTGTGTGTGTGTATGTATCCTGAATAAACTACTGGCCCGAGAAGGTACCGAATAGTGTTTCGAGGATAAAAGTCGATGCCATGCTCCTGAACCCGTTTGAGACCATAGAAGCCCCATACTTAAAGGATCATGGGACTTAGTAACTAGGGTTATTATCAGGGTAATTGGACTTATAACTACCTATGACCCCAATTAGGGTACATATAACCTTACTTACTAAGTCCCATGATCCTCCAGGTATAAACCCCAAAAGTCCAAACCATCGAACCTAAGCATCCCCGAGCCCGGCCAGACCCTTCCGTAATCCAAAACTCTCATGCCCTGAACCTTAGACTCTTCCAGCCACCTCCCCCAACTACGCTCTATTCTACCCTAGATACTCCCCGTTTAAGGACCACAAGGGATCTATTCCTGAACCCTTAAACCCTAACCCGAAAGCCCGGACATGTGAAACGATCCGGTGGGACAGCAGCAGCTAAGGAGCCATGGGATCGAGGATTCTATGCCCGGGGCCCTGTGGTGTTTCGGGTTTTGGGGTTCAGGTGTTTATGGTTTAGGGTTCAGGATATTGGGTGTGTAGGGATTTAGGGTTGAGTGTTTGTATGAGGCTCGTGTCGGAAGGGCATGCAGGGCTTTTTCGGGTTTGGCTGACTTTCTGGTAGGGTTGTCTTCATGCAGGGGTCTCAAAGGTTACAGTGAAGTTTCTGCGTAGAGGCCGGCTGTTTTCTGGCCTGCATTATGCGGGGTACTTCTACAGAGGCTTTTACTCTTTGCTGCCGTGCTGCCGCTTAAGATTTGGGGCCCGGTGTCACTCTGTGTGTGTGTGTGTGTTTGGAGTTTGCAAGTGAGAATGCGACTTGGTTTCTATCGATGCTTGCTGAGGGTTGCACCGGTATCTTCTACTGGGCTTTGGAGTACCTTACTTTAATACTTTTTTCTTAGTGGAACCATTATGAAATACAAGTTTATACTTTTTTCTCCCTGGTTACTTAAAGGCCCAGTCTATCCAGAGCCAGACCCCGGGTTGCTCTGTACGGGTTTAGAGTTTAGGACGTGCTGTAGGTCTAGTAAGTTAGATTCAGCTTCCATAGCCGATGCCTTGTTTCGAATGTGTAGGGATCTTGCAAGAACAAGGTAGCCAAGGTATGTTGTAGATAAGCCAAGACATCGCCTTACACCCGGAATGCGGGATGCTCCTGGACCTCCCAGCATAACCTTCAATAGATCAGCGGGAAGACAGGTGCCTTAGTCTGTAACTTTGGAATTTGGTAGCAAAGATTGACAAAGCCCTTCAAAACCTAGCACTTGAGAAACAAGCCTAAATTCAGAACCCTACATCCAGATGTAAGCTTCGGGAACCGCCGAACCCCCCTGTGGTGGTGGAAGTATCGAACAGTCACAAACCCATCCCTAACCCCAAACAGCCTCGAACCCAAAAGGGCCCTAAGCTTAAGTCATTCCACTCATCTTTCCTTTGCCCAACCTTACACCCATAAACAGCAAACCAAGATCCTTACAACCGAATAGAACCCCCCATAAGTCCTTTCCCTAGGGTCCAAGTGCTCTATCGTAGGACTGTGGGTATGGGTATCATGAAGCCGTAAATGAGGACTACTTGGACCCTTAAGGCCTTAAGGTTTTTTTGTCTTGTTCCGAGTTATGACTAGCCCCCAAAATCGAAACCTTCCAAAACCCTAAGCCCCCTAAGACCCTGAACTCATTGTTTTGTTCCTACCCCAAACCCTAAACCTTCTAAAACCCTAAACCCGCCAAAAAACCCTAAACTAATTTGTTTCGTTTCTGGGAGTATGTAGAATGATAGCCTTGTATGGGCATTGGGCCAGTATTTTACCTAGTTTCGGGGTTTCAGGCCATAAACCCTAAACCCTAAACCTGAACCTCCCAAACCCTAAAACTTCCTAAGTAAGACTCCAACTTCTTTTTTTTCGTTTCCCTAAACCTTCTGATACCCTAAACCCCCAAAGAAACCCTAAACTAATTTGCTTCGTTTCTAGGAGTATGTAGAATGATAGCGCTTTATGGGCATTGGGCCAGTATTTTACCTAGTTTGGACCTAGTTTGGGGGTTTTAGGCCATAAACCCTAAACCCTAAACCCTAAACCCAAACCCTAAACTTCCTAAGTAAGACGCCAGCCTCCTTTGTTATGTTCCTAGGCTGCCCCGTGTGGGGTGCTCTCGGCCCACAGTTCTGAGCTCCTCGTGGCACTGCGCAGGGGCCCTGCTTCGCTCGAAGGGTCGCGAGGTTTGGGTTTAGGGCCTGAGCGGTTTTGGGTTCAGGGTTTAGGGCTTTACCCTAAGGGTCCAAGTACCCAAATAGTAGGGTTTCAGGGTCCAAAAACCATTCAGGGTATGGATTTTGGGACCTAAAACCCTACTATTTGGGTACTTGGACCCTCTGGGTTAGGGCTTTGGGTTGAGGATTGGGGGTGTTTAGGGTTTAGGGTTTAGACTAACAGATGATATTGGGGGAGCTATGGAGCCAGGGATGATGATACTTCCTACTAAATTAGGAGCTAAAGAGCCAAGGGAACCCCCAAAACCACTGGTTAGTAGAGCTTGAGGGTTCAGGGTTTAGCTCTGGCTTTAGGTTTGGAGGTTTAGGGTCGGGGGTGATCAGGGTTCGGGTTTGTGTGTTCATTACGGATTTGGGGTGTAGGTTTGTGTATTTAGGGGCTCTGGCTTTAGGTTTGGGGGTTTAGGGGGTTTGTGTTTAGATGTGGGGTCTACGGGCTCCGGGTTAAGTTTTGGGGGTTTAAGGGTTTAGGATTTAGGTTTGGGGGTGTAAAGGTTTAGGGTTTGGGTTTGGGGGACTGTTCTAAGGGCGTCGCAGGATACTTGCATTTTAGGGCTTGCAGTCCTGTAATATTGGGGTTTAGGGCTTGAGATCTATTTAGGGTTTGGGTAAAATTCAGGAAAGGTTCGTTTGGAACTTCACTCACCCAACTCCTGAGTTTCTGGGCTTGGGGGGGCTTCAGGGTTCACGCTTGCAAACCAGCACAGTACGGTTGATGATATAAATCCTGCATGACCCAATTTTCAGGAATATACCATAATTCCCATAGTTTACTACTATTTGCTTAAGAAGCCCCCAAAGAATAAAAATAATAATCCCTATATTACCCCCAGAAGGAATATATTTTTTATTTTTTGTGGGTTCTTAAGCAAATAGTAGTTTAGGGTCCTTGAGGTAATGCAGGATTTGTGCCATCAGCAGCATCACAACTTAACCGGCAGGTTTCGCCTTGTGGCGTAGTGGATCATTGCTTCGGTCATTGCTCCTGACCCTAATGGCCCTAATGGACCCTAATGTTCCGTACGGTTGATGATATAAATCCTGCATTACCTTAATGGCCCTAGACTATGGGAATTATGGTATATTCCTAATTATGGGAAATGCAGGATTTATATCATCAACAGTAGGACCCCTTAGTTCCTCCAGGCACCTCGGAGCCCTGCGCCCCCAAACCCAAAACCCTCATCTCAAGACCTTGCTCGGGACCAAGACCTCAGGCTATATAGCCAGTCCGATCCTAAACCTCTAAGCCCTGAACCTTAAATCCTAAACCCTAAAACCTTTAAAAAAAAAAACCCTAAAACCCTAAAGCCCTGAACCCTGCACCCTAAACCTGGGTGTAGTGCGCCCGAAAGCCTTCCCTAGTCCCTCCGAACTGATTGCTCGTGCCGGTACGCTCTCTCTCAAGGCATCGTGTCCACATCTTCGTGACATGAAGGGCCATTTGACAAATTGACATAATATGTATATATGTATATACATATATACACATCCACACGCACACAGACAGAGACACACACACACACACACACACGCACGCACACATGCACATTTTTGAGTATCAATCACCGAAAAATGGATTTGAGATTAGGCAGAATCGGCAAATAAATGAACAAAGGCGCGATCATGCTATGCCAGCCTGTCGCAAGTGCCTACAATGCAAGTCGAAGTCTGTCAGAAGCGTTCCCCCAGCAAATTACACGCCTCGCACAAGTATTCGTATCAAACGACACAACAAAGCAATGCACCTGTAAAAGCCCTTAGCCCCAAACCGTAAACCTGCTAAAACCTACACCTTAAGTCCATGAATCATTAACCCTTGACCCTGAACTTTGAATCCTAGAACCCCGAAACCTCTAAACCCGAAGCCTCATAAGCCCCAAGCCTTAAACCGTAAGGCGTAGACCCTCTGTAAACCTTAGCCCCGCTTTTCTATAGTCTCCTTAGGAACTATTTGTTATTTGTGTTCATATAGAACCCAAGAAAAGATTAAACACAATATGTTCATTATGGTTCTAAGGCGGGTATAGTTTTTAGAAAGCCATGCCGGGCGCTCTTGCCGCCACGCTGCGGCCCAGAAGAGCTTCCTTCGGCACCGTGGAGTGGCGCTCTGGCTTTGGGCTCTTTCCTAAAGGCTCCCTGTACCTTTATAGTAGATACTTAGGCCTTAAAGGGGTCCCTATATAGGTACTTCAAGGCCTATGTATCTACAATAAAGGTACATGGAGCCTTAGGGTTTGTGTGGTTTTGGTAGGGCCCTATGAGGGTTTTCTGGGATCTACACAGGGTTTAATGGGGCTTGACGTGGTTTTGTAGGCGTGTATAAGGGTTTCACGGGATTTTTTATTCGGTTGAAAAAGGCTTTCTGAGGTTTTTATGGGGTTTGACACAAGCCTCACCTTTGGTTAGTAGGGAATGGACTGGTAATAATAGTAGTTATAATTGTACCCCATTCCTCCATTCCCTACTAACCCAAGGTAAGATGCCTTACACGTTACTAACTTGGGGGTTCCCTATTATAAGTATAGTATAATGGCCCCCAGAACTCTATTCTAAGTATTAAGGCTTCACACCCTAAACCCTAAACCCTCCTCGACACGCCCGGTCTCCGAGGTGCGCGGAGTCAGAGACCACGGTCGGAGCCGGGGCCTTACAGTAGAAGCCAGAAAGTTGGAATATCAATCCCCTCATGCCCTTAAGGTAGAGTATAGGGGATTCTAGCACCAATCCTCCTAAACCCATGTTCCAACTTTCTGGGATTCTCTGAAGTGCCGTCGGCTTCTCTGGATGGAGACGGGCCCCGAAGGGCTCCTTGAAGGGTCTAAAGGACCCGATCATGGTAATGAGGTATTCTGTTTTGGGATAGTATGGTGGTGTGGGAGGTTAGTATTTGGGATAGTACCTAGTTCTGAGGCACTTGGACCCTTAGGAGTTGAAACAAGATTTTCTCCGAAAGTATTGGGTTTGGTGCGGGGTCCTTATTACTTCTTCCTTGCTTGATCTCCCTAAACCCTAAACCCTATACACCCTAAACCCTAAACCCTCCCCGACCTAGCCAAGGGCAGCTCACGGACTAGCACGGTGGACCCTCTGGCGCAAACACAGGCCACACAGAGTCCGAGGTTGTTACTTAAAGGATCATGGGACTTCGTAACTTAAAGGGTTCCTTAAAGGGATCTATAAAGGGATCCATGGGGGTTTTAGGGTTTAAAGGAGGTTTAGGGTTTAAAAGATCATGGGACTTAGTGCCCTTAAAGGGCTCCTTTTACGGGATGTATAGGGGCTCTATCATAAGAGGGGTTTTAGGATCTACTTAAAGGATCATGGGACTTAGTAACTAGGGTGATTACTAGGGTAGTGATACCTAGAACCACTGATAACCCCAACTAGGGTACTTATAACCTTACTTACTAAGTCCCATGACCTTTCAAGAGGGTTCAGGGCCTCTCCTCAAAGCATTGCCCAGAAGATGCTTCGGCCTTCCTTGGCGCCTACTTAGAGGATCATGGGACTTAGTAAGTAGGTTATAGCTGGGGTTATAAGTCCCCTAAGTGGGGTTATCCTAATTATAACCTACTTATAACCTTACTTACTAAGTCCCATGAGCCTTCAAGTAGGGGGTTTAGGGGTTCAGGGTTTTGGGGGGTCGAGGGGTTTAGGCCAGTTTAAAAGTTTATAGGGGTTTCAGATCCCTAAACCCTATACACCCTATAAACCCTAGACCCTATGGGACGGCAGGCAGGCATCATGTTAAGGAATCCCTACCCCTAGAATCTTAAACCCCCCCTTTTGGCCTCCCATCATTGAGTTGTCTTGAACTAGGCCTAGGGTTTGTGGGTGTTGGGTTTAGGAGCTCAAAAAAACTATGACCCAAAACGATATAAACCCTAAGCCCTATTCAAGCACGTCGGAGCTCCTTCTGCTATGCTCCACCCCAGAGGGTCCAAGTACTCCTTACTATATGGGTGGCTGTCAAAATTATGGTCCCTTTTTGGGCACCCTAAATGATAGGTGCCGTATAATATTAAGGAACCAAAAAGGGCCCCTTATTTTGACAACCACCCATATGACTTACGGGCTTTTTCAGGGTTCAGGGTTATCATCGGACTTTAGTTTTTGTTTTTCGGGTTGAGGCTTTCAATAGCCATGCATAAGGACTACTTGGACCCTTGGGGCCAAGGTTCAGCCACTGAGCCCCCCTTACAACAATATTAAGCGCTGAAGTGGGCTTTGGGGTTTACGGTCTCCCCATGGCCGTTGGGGTTTAGGGTTTTAAGATTTAGGGTTAAGGGTCCGGGCCAGGAAGCCAAATTGGCAAGAACAAAGCCCTAAGGGTCCATGTACTCATATAGTATATACATTGGCCTTAATTCCCCATATAGGTACTTTGGGGCCCATGTATCTCTATATGGGTACATGGACCCTTAGGAAAATAACCCCAACCCCCGGCAGATTGGCTCCTTCTACGCCAACGCCACCGTGAACTCTTCCGAGGGGACGCAGTCTAGACCCGCTCCTGCGTTTTGTGTCTTTTTTCTGGGGCTGGCAGGGGGCATTTAAGGAGCAAAAGGTCCAACCGGTCAGGGCTAGAGTCGGCTATAGCTGCAGGCAGGTTTTAGGGTCGTACCCTTAGGCTCTAAGGACTCATATTTTGAGGCTTTTGGGATCTTTTGAGCCTTAGGGGTAGGGCTGAGAGTGTAAGGATAACAGGGTTTTGAGGGTTGACAGCTGTTTGCAGATGTTATGCCTCGGTCGATGGGAGCTGCTTTCGTGTTGATCGAGATGCTCGGCGGTTAGCAAAGCCCTGAACCCTAAACCCTTCTAGAACCTTTCAAGAACTCTCTCGGAACTCGTACACAAAGGCCCATTAAAGAGCCTAAGCACAGACTCCCACGTGCAGAACCTGAACATTTTCAGTTTTTGCGCATGAAGAAAAATTGCCAGCAATTGCAACACCACATTGCAGCTTGCCTTTGCTCGTCTTATCCTCAGCCCCATAACTCTTGGGCTTATGTATGCTTTTTAGGGGCGTTCTTGTTTAGAGGTTCCGGTTTCCTGTCAAACACTTGGACGCTCGTGTTTCGGGGGATTGGGTTTTCTTGTGCACGTTTTGGGGTTGAGTGCGTAGCCTAGATGGTATCCTAGGGCCCTACCTGGACCTTGAGGAACCTACCTTTTTAGGACCCTTTTTCGGGCACCCTAATATGATTTCTTTAGACAAGTTCCTAAAAAGGTAGGATATTTGGGGTTAAGATAAACCCTAACGAGATGCCCAGGAAGGGCCTATCGCCCGGCAACGCCACCTGCCTCGGTTCCCGCGTGCCTTGTGCTGATTCACCCACATCCTTGAGGGTTTTAGGGTTTAGGCGTGTATGGTGTGTGGTGTAGGGTTTCGGGCTTGCATTAGTTGCAGTACATAGGGGTTTGTCTCCAGCGAAATCATCAGACACGGCAAGCCAGAGTTGTGGATTCAGTTCTGCTGCATAGTAGATGTCTGCCGGGACCACTCAGCTCTTCCCAGACAGCCCATCCATACCCCCTGGTTGAGGCATATAACTTAGAGCATCGTATTAAGCACTGTGTTAGAGTCTAGAGTATATTCCTTGATTAAGGGGTAATGACATCTCAATGACCACTTATAGGCTTCGGGGGCAAGCTGGTTGCGAGGGGAGTCACAAGTAAGCGTTAATTGATCGATGTATTCTTACCTACAAAGTCTACAGATCCTTAACGTACGCGTTTGATTAGGGACTATGACCAGTGTTGGAGAGGCCTGTGTATCCTCAACTATAAGAGGAAGGTAGTCAAGCCCTGTCTCTTCAGGGGTTAGAGCTGCATCTCGCCCCTGAAGCATATGTGCTGAAGGCGCAGACATTTCCGCCCAATGTCGGCGAGAGCTGCGCGGGTGAGCGCCCTACACCCTAAACCCTTGACATGTTTTGGGTGAGGATTGGCAGAGATCCCTTCGCCGATGATGACAGTGATGGTGGTGCTGATGCTGCTTGCGAGGATGGCGGCGATGGCGTACACTGCATCGTCGGTGACGACGATGCTGACAGCCATGTGATGAAGGAGGTGATGCTATGGTCGTGATTGTCGTCATCAAATTCCATAGTACTTACCACTTCATCATTACCATATATGACATCACACCATACCATGTCACGCCAACCTCTTTCAGGCCAACAAATCATTGCGGGGAGCGCCATATACGTTGTCATACTCACTTGCTCCACATGTCTGTTCATTGTCACCTACACCACCATCACGACCATCATCTACTATCGTGTGCTTCACGTACTATAACAGTTTCTTAACAGATATAGTCACCCTTCACTATTTTGACATCGTTATCATCAGCAGCTGGTTTGGCGTCTGAGGGTTCAGGGTTCAAGGAGTTGCTGGATTAATGGCGTGCGTCTTTCCTTTGTTTTTTTCTGATGCAGGAGGTCTTAGAGATTCTGTTTCGAGCTCTACTATTTAGACAAGGGCTCCTAATATATGATATACCCTCCAAATCCCTATTCTGTCGGAGTAGTTACTCATGCTAGCAGTTCCTTATCCTCGTTATACTGTAGAACACCCCAGAATATCATGTTGCTATGTTGCAGGCCCCCCATATTCCAAGACCCCCCAAGTGCCCTCTACATAATATATCCCAAATACCCACTATTAAGGGTCATAAGGACTCTATTAAAGGGCCCTTGGGGGGTCCTGGTCAAGCTTGTGGCTTCAGGTCTGACACTTGGCCAGAGAGTGTAGGGCGTAGAGGTTGAACCCAATGATGTTTGAGCCAGGCTGCTGGCTGCTACAGTACGTACAGTATGCATGTATTCCACATATATATATATGTAATACGTATGCAGATACATACATACATGCATGCATACATATGCAGATCTCTTTAAATTTATATGTATAGTATATGCACACATGTACGTATGTATATTCGCATGGATATGAACATGCGAGAACAGGTGCACATACAGCCTATGTGCAGATTTCATATAGGCATGTGTATATGCATACATATATATATATATATGTATATGTATATGTGTGTGTGTCTATGTGTATCATGTACATGCACGTATATGAACTTGTGAACACGTTGTATTATCCGTTTACACAAAGAGGGTACTCGGATGAGGATGTGCTTGTGTATGTATGCGTGCATACCTACATATGTTACATATGTATGCATGTATACAGAATGAAGTATACTATATAAACATATAAGTATTTGTTTATCTGTTTTTATTTTATCTACATATGTACATACACACACTTCACACCTTCAAACGGCTTCAATACTAGAACTCCCCACACCCGACTAAAGTGCTTATCGTCAATGACTCTCGTTGTGGAGGAGGGCCGGCGACTGGGCGATGCCAGTGAAAGTGGTGTCGAAAGCTCAGTGGAGGATTTGTTTTGCGAGTTTTCTGCCAGTATTTACTTGACATTCAAGCCTAAACCCTTAAATCTAGGGGCCTCAGTACTTAACTCTAATGTCTCGTTTGGTGTTGTGTGATGCAGTGGGCCCAAGTATTCCAACACCATAGCGTCTTAGGTCCCAAACCCCAAGGGTCCGAGTACCCAATAATCAACAATCGTATACTCTCCAAAATCCAAACCTACATAGCTACTATCCTAAAAAACTGAGTACCTAACTATTGGGTCCTTTGGACCCTTGGGGAAATATTATATTTTGAATGGCTTCTTCTACCAGTTTGGGCACATGGACCCGTAGAGTGTCTGGGGACATGGCAGCTCCTGAGTTGGTTTTTGTGTCGGGTGGGGAGCGGGGGATAGGGGGAGATTTAGGATTTCTAGGGTCTGAGGGTTTGGGTGTTGGCAGGGTTGACATCCCTGAGGATTGGTTGGATGTTGGAACTCTCCAAACTCCTATAAACCCTACCTCTCCTACATCCTACGCCCCTATAAACCCTAAACCTTAAACCCCTAAATCCCAAACCCTCAGACCTTTAAACCATCTTAAATCCGGGAAATCCTAAACCCCCAAACCCTTAAGCGCTGAACCCTTCGAAGTGGCCCAGGTCCCAACGATTTCGGCGCAGTCGTCGGCGTCCTCCGCATCCACACCGAGGCTTTGCGGTTTAGGGTTTAGGGTTTGGGCTTGAGGTTTTCCCTGCGTCAAAATTTTAGGGCATAGGTTTTGAAGATTTGGAAATTAGCATTTGAAGTTTAGGGTTCAGGATTATCAGATTTGGGCCTGGACAACAACATATACTGTTTCGCCTTTGTTTTATTTGTTCTGCAATGGGCCCCGAAACCCTATCCTAATTATCAAGGCCTAGGGTTTATAGGTTTATAGTGTTTCGGGTTGGGGTCCAGGATCTGGGGTTCTGGGTTCACCCAGCAGGTTCACTAACAGGGGTTGTTTTGACTCGGTCTTGTGGGGTCTTTTGTTCAGGGAAAACCAGGTTTCAGTGAGGTTGTTCTGAGCTATAAAGTTTTCAAGCCCTAAGGGTCCATGTACTCATATAGTATATACATTCGCCTCAATGTAGTGCCTATATAGGTACATTGGGGCCCATGTATCTCTATCTGGGTACATGGACCCTTAGGGAAGTGCAGGGACGCGCATCTCGAAAATCAGCAAGTGTTTTCACGGAACTGTTTTCGAGAGCCCAGGAAGAGAAAAACCACGAAAGTCACCTGGTCGCTTAGACCTTTCGCGGCTTCGGCAGGCGGAAAAAAAGCACGAACGAAGCGTGGCACTGTGGAATCGTGTGAATCCTGCACGGAGGTTTAGGGTTTAGGGGTTTAGGGGTTTAGGGGTTAGGGTTTAGAGTTTAAGAGTTTAGGGTTTAGGGTTTAGGGTATAGGGTTTAGGGGGTTATGGGTTTAGGGGTTTAAGGTTTAGGGGCTTTCAGGCATGCTCTGAGGCTGCCGGGGGCGCAGTCCGTTTTCGCGGAAGCGATGTCTTGAGCTGCCGACCCTCCCCAACAAGGATGCAAAAGAGAAGCAACGGTTGATGATATAAATCCTGCATTACCTTAAGGACTCTCAACTATGGGAATTTTGGTATATTCCTCATTATGGGTCATGCAGGATTTATATCATCAACCGAAGTACCAAAACCCGCAAGCTGCACAAAGAGAAGCACTGTGCAATGATGCGAATCATGCGACCAGGAAGCGTCCAGCCAACAAAGCTAGTTGTGAATCACTTGGGTGATTTGGAGCGTTAGGTTTTTTCGGCTAATTTCGTCTTGCTGAGCCAAGCAAGAAACGAAGCAACAACCAAGCGTGTCATTCTGGGATAGCCCGAATCCTGCACCCAGGCCACGTTTTCAGGCATGTAGCACCCAAAGCCGAGACAGCACAAGCTAAACAAGAAGGCCGGACATGGACGTTACTTATCACCACCCCCATCCACACGCCCCGCCCCCTTCTCAAACAAAGGTGCAACCCGTGCTGCAGCCCGGAAAAAGGCGAGCCGGAAACAGCGCAAAATCGCGAGAGGCGTTCCAGCACTGCGTACCCCAAAGGGTCCAAGTATCATTATCCCTAAGCGTCCATGTATTCATATAGTATATACATTGGCCTTAATGTAGTCCCTATATAGGTACTTTGGGGCCCATGTATCTCTATATGGGTACATGGACCCTTCGGGTAGGGTATATACTTATAGGGTATTTTGGGGTCTAAGTATGTACCATAGTAATACTTGGACCCTTTGGGTACAGGCAAATCGAGCCGAGCAACCCCGTTTTCAGCAACTGTGACATGTGCCAAATCCGTCGTGCAGGCCATGTTGCGGTGAACATCATACATGAAGCTTCAACGGCCTGGCCCCAGACGTTGCCCCGAAGACTACGTACAGTCGTCCTTGTTCCCGAACCCGCTTGCTGGGTCAAGGATTGAGGATTTCGGGCTGGGGTTTAGGCCCTTGCTTTGATCCCGAACCCGGAACATGCTTTCTCTGAAGGGTCTTTTTACCGAATTCATACAGGAAGCTGCCCCGAAAACGGAAGGATGTTCAGGGTTCAGGCAAGCCATGGCAAGCCTTAAAGAACCCTAACGTGTAGGTAAGTGCTTGGGAGAGGCAGACGGTCCTCGCCACCGCAGCGATTCCGGGCTATACCGGGCACATCCCGAACAAAGACATCGAGGCGAGTTAGGGTTAAGGTTTTAGGGACACAAGAGACACCCAGACCTTCCGATATCCTTTTAAAGAGGGAATAGATTCTAAATCAGATTCGGGCTATCATAATTTAAGGAGTATTCCTCACTTGTACAGGGATGTTGGGAGGTTTGGGCATCAAGTCATAGCCCGAAAGTTGGAACCTGCCTTGTTGATCCATGTTCCAAGTTTCTGAGGTTCATGATAGACGCCTCATAGCGAGATCAATAGATCAATACGGCAAGCTGCTCCTAGAGACCTTGAACAGGACCTGTCACTTCTCCAGGATTTAGCGCATGGCAGAGTCTTTACGTATTTGGAGTGCCGGTTTCGGGATTCTGGGGCTTCGTGGTCAGGGAGCACCTTGATAAAGCATTTTCTTTGCGACCCGAACCTTGCGATATGAGTCCGGGGAAGCAAGCTGTGCACTCTAATCCCAGGCCTCGAAATATCGGTAAAGCTGAACTCGAAGCCCTACATAAATCCCAACCCTACACCCTGAACTCTAAAGTAAGTCTTGAATCTTGATAAGCCTGCAGGTATGTGGTGGCACTTTTACCGTCGAGAGCATGGCCGCAGCGGCCATCCGGACGAGGTTACGGTTATGTCTAGGATTTAGGTTTTCGGGTTCAGGGTTTAGGGTTCAGGCTTTAGGGTTCAGGGTTTAGGGTTCGGAGTTTAGGGTTCGGGGTTTAGGGTTCAGGGTTTAGGGTTGAGGGATAGGCTATCCGATAGGGTTTAGTTTGGGTAGGTTCTAACTTGCTTTGGCGGTCGTTGGGTTTCACTTAAGGGCCCAACGGTTGATGACACAAATCCTGCATTACCCATAATAATAAGGAATATACTATAGTTCCCATAGGGCCCTTAGGGTAATGCAGGGTTTGTATCATCAACCGAAGTACCTACTAATTATTTTGTCATGCACTCACCGACCTAAGGCTAGCCTACAGCTACTATCCCAAACCTTGGTGCCTAAGTTCAAGGTCCTTCGGACACTTAGGGTTTAGAGCGAGGCTTTTTGTTATGGTTTAGTAGCTGTATAGGCTAATGGCTTGGAGAGCATATTATGGGGCTTGGATTGCTGTGTATACTTATCTTAGTAGCTGAGTGGATACACTTTACACTTTTTGGGATAATATTACCCGCTATAAAACTGAAAGTGTACACTGTTTGGGGCTTGTGAACTCAGCAACTAAGTTATAGAAAAGCCGGATGCCATGTACAAGCTCACACATCGATGTTTATGCGTAGCTTTGTCTATGGCTGTGCACGCATGAAACCGCAACCCAGAGAAGCCACTGCCCCCTGTGTGCCTAATGCAGACTATTCGCTTTTTTCCTCGAAGTACAGGAGGCTGCCGATTATGATTAAAGGCATGTTTTCTTTCATGTGGTAGAAGGTTTAGGGCTTGGGGTTAAGGGTTTAGGGTTTAGGGTTGGGTATCCCTAAGGGTCCATGTACTCATATAGTATATACATTGGCCTATATAGGTACTTTGGGGCCCATTGTATCTCTACATGGATACATGGACATTAGGGTATGGGAATCTCTGAGTAAAGCCCTAAGCCCGAGACCCCAAAGCCCCTGCAAGGCGTCAGCGCTGTCGGACTTCACAGTTTTCGAAGCAGCTGGCTGATGGCAGGGGCCTCCTCGGACCAGGATCAGGGAATAACAGTTAGATACTGCAAGTAATGTAAGGGCCTTAATAATTTGAAACGCTGCGCGCCGTCCGCCTCGGCCCGGCTGTACGCGCATGCGGCGTGGTTTAGGGGTTTAGGGTTTGGGGTTTTGGGCTCTAAGATGTAGGGGTGTAAGGGTCGAGGCTTAGGGGGTTCAGGGTTTTAGATTTTAGGGTTTAGGGCTTTAGGGTTTTGGGGTTTAGGGCTCTAGGGTTTTGGGGACTAGGTTGAGGGCTTTAGGGGTTTTGGTCGGGCTTAGGTGCGTGCGCACAGAAAAGTTGTTCCAACTGTGTAGCCTGCTGCACTACACATCAGACCCTAGAGCCCTTTTGGGGGGGGGCTGGGAGGGGTCGGAGGGAGGGGGGGGGGGGGCGGGGGAGGGTGGGGGGGGCGGGGGGCGGAGGCGAATTAGAATAGGGTTTAAGGGCTCCTTATTACAAGTATAGTATATTATACCCCCAAACCATATTCGAACTATTAATCCCCTACGTTAGGCGGTACCATGCCCCCAATTTTGATTATGTAAGATGGCCCCGAGATTCGGGTTTAGTGTCGGTGTCTGGGCTCAAGTAGGGCCTCCGTGATGTGAGTTTTTGCTGATGCTCTAAAACCGACGTACACCCGCTATAAAAGTTGGAGCAACACCATGCTATAATGGTTTCTGGTTTTAAACCCTTCTCTCTAAAGCCTAAACTCGTTCATAAATTCTGTGAGACTATAACCATGAAGCCCAACTTCTGAAACGAAAGCTAGATTCTTCTACAGAAAACACCGGCAATCTATGGCCTTGTATCCCGCAGCTCGTACGGCTTAAGGCCCTGAGCAGAAACGCTGTCCTGGAAACCTAAAAAGGCCCCAAACCCTAAGCGCTAAACCGGAGGGTTCATAGATTTACAGGGTTTTGGCTTTAGAGATTATAGTGGCTTTGGGTGTTATAGAGTTTCGGGAAACGCCGAATCCTTAATGAGGGTCTATAGGGTTTGCAACTTTGGGGATTCGGGTTTATGGTTTAGGGTAAGCCCCCAAAACCCTATTTATTACCCGAAAAGACACAGACCCTAAACGACCCTGCGCAAAGAAGCGCTAAACCTCCCTGTGGATCCAGGTCCCCATACAGGTATTTCGCGGCCATGGGGGTTTCCGAAACTTGGGGGTACCTTATTTTTGGGTCGAACGTATATGCCCTTAAAAGATAAGGGTCCATGTGCCCCAATGGTATCTACAGTTGCTTGAATGTAGTCCCTACAAAGGTACATTGGGCCCGAAGTATATAGTATTTGGACACATGGACCCTAGGCGAAATATACTACGCCCTGAACCCTAAAACCCTAACCGCAAGAACCCCAAGCCCGCCCAGGTCGAACGTACGCCCAAGGCTTTTCTGAGCAGCTGGGCCTGGAGTTCACATCGACGCTGAGGATCGGAATGCTCTCGTTTAGTGTTTATAGGGTTCAGGGTTTATTTTGGCCAGCCACAAGTTGCAGCCCCAAACACAGCAAAGTAGAGGATGATGACCCCTTGATTTTTGGTTTTATCGCGTGCACACGAGAAGGTTCTTGAATCCACAGGAGCATGAGCTGAGGTGGGTGTCTAAGGGTTCATGGATTGCGGGCTCAGGGTTTCCGGGTTTTAGGGCTTTCGGGGATCAGGCATAAGGCGTTTCCGATGACGGGCCGAGCAGGAAAGGGGAAGATGAGACAGACGGACTGAGTTTCGTCAAGCCTGTGCTGGAAGAGGGTTTTTGGCCTCAGATTCGCTTGCTCAGCGGTGACATCGTAGAAGCTCGTCACTTCCGGAGCGCGGGACCCTCCATCCACTCGTTGGCGCCCACGACATGGTGGGCATAATATGCTTTTCTTGCAGGCGTCAGACCACAATTGCAGCAGGGAGCTGCTTCGATCAACGCCATCTGACGCGTATCTCTCAAAGGGTTATGTTCCTGTGGAAGCCCAAGGCCATGCCGGATATCAGACTCGCCACCTGTGACACGGCGGCATCCGTCGTGTCAACCCAGGCCCTCATGGATGACGCAATGGTGGTCAAGCGTGTTTGGCGAGTGTACGCGGATATCACACAGCGCACGGCGGTGCCCATGAAGCCTACGCATCTCTTAGGGGTACTTAGAAATAGTTTTTATTATTTGGTTAATTATTAGAATCCCTACGAAACAGCTAAAATTACCAATTTTTGCTATGGTTCTAAGTTCAGTATAGATCTGTTTGAAGCAGTAGAGCGACATCCAGCTAGAAGCTGGCATGTGCATGAACCCAGAGCCTCCAAAACCCCTTAATTAAGGAATGTTCCTTTAATTATAATAGGATCCCTCATATGATTTTAAGGTATATATTCCTCAATTAAGGGGTTTTGGAGGCTCTGGGAAGCTAGCCTCATTGCCTACCCAAATAGTACATACGATGGCCTTCGAGCTCTCCCTATACCCCGACCCCCGAGAGAGGATCTAGAAAGTAGATCCCCTAATTGCGGGCCCTATACTTCTGAGGGTACTGTAAAGGAACCCCCATGAAGGGACCTACTTTTGGGATCCTCCCCGGGGGTCTGGGTAGAGGTACTTTGGGACCAAAAGTACATTGCTTCTTGGATCCCTCAGTTTCCAGAGCTTGTCTAATCTTTGATATTGGGGGAGCTAAGGAGCCAGGGATGATGATTTAGGGTTTAGGGTTTAGGGTTACCACCAAAACCCGGGTTAGTTGTGGACCACACATCTGAAGCAGGTCAAGCTGCGAGCTCCTGAAGCAACCGACAGTCAGTCAGTCTTGAGGTATATACCTTTAAAGAAAGCTCGAAGCCCCTCTTAAATTTTAAGCCCGAAGCCCCCTTTATAGAATTTTTGGTGGAACTCCGAAGCCCTAAAACCCCAAACCCTAAAGCCCACAACCCCAAAAACCCAACCCCCCAAAGCCTATAACCAAACGGAAGGAACTATCAGCCATGGACTCAGCCGGCGGCTGGTGTGACCCATTCCTTCGAGCGCGGCCGGGACGCAAAAGGTTAGTGTTCCTCACAGTGTTGGAGTTGCGTGTGGTATTGTTTCTTGCGTGCTCTTTGCAGGTCTCGGTGTAGCTACATTCAGTTCAGGTAGGGTTGTGGTTCGTGTTTTTGTCTAATTTTGTGGAGGGTGTGTTGGGTGGTTCTGGGTTTAGTTTTGGAGGGTTGGGCCATTGGGGTTTCAAGGCAAGAGTCTTAGGTACTGGGGATGTAGGGTCTTGGGCATTTTTTGATTTAGGGTCTCAGGTATTTTGAGTTTTAGGGCCTTAGGTATTTGGGTTTTCGGTTTAGGGCTTAGGGTTTTGGGTCTGGGGTCTTTAGGTATTCGGGTTTATGGGTTTGGAGTTTAGGGTTCACAGGGTCCCTGGCTGGGACGGCCCAGGGTGTAGGTTTTTGGGTCTAGTGGGGCGTTGGGTATAGGGGTTTAGAGATTTAGGGTTTAGGGGGTCTTAGGGGCATTGGGGCCAAGGGGTCATAGGGTTGAGGGGTTTAGAACCTAGAGTGCTAACTCTCATGGTCAAAAGGACACACTAGTCAGCCGCTTAGGTCCCGGATAGTTTTGCAAGTTACAACCTGGGAGAGTCTACTTCGACCCTCAGGGTGGGAGGTTGGAAGCTCATGTTATCCAAGCAGTGGGGCACGGGGTTACATGATGTATGGCTGTTTAGGTACCTACATAGTAGGCTACTAGCCGTTTATATTATGCCTGAGCCCTAAATCCTAAACCCTAACCCCTAAACCCTAAACTGTAACCCAATAACGCAATAGTTGGGTAACCGGAGCCTTTGGAGACTGAACTCAAGAAGGCTTTCGACATGAAAGGCTGAACTGGGCTCCAAAGAAGCGGCGAAGCCTGTCGCAGCATCGGGCAATGAAGACTGAAGACTCAATGAAGACGACCCATTGGACGGCTTTTGGGACTCCATAGATATGTACTGTAGGGGCCTTAATAATGAGCATAAGGTTTGGGGGGGGGTAGAGCATACTATAACATACAATATGGAACCCCCAAAACCCCATTCAAGTGATTAAGGCCCCTACAGAAAAAGTATATACATTGGGGTCGAAAGTCTATGTAAAGTAACTAGTTTGGGCGATTCGGAGTCTTAGGGTTGGAGCAGATCCATGAGGCTATGCCCAACATCAGACGATCGGTTCAGAGTTATATAAGGGAGTTTCCGAAATAGGGGACCTAATGTAGTACCCTGATAAGTAGAACCCTTAGTATAAGGGCTCTCAAAAAATACAGTACCCCGAATTTTCGGAAATCCTAAACCCTGAGAAAAGAGCCCTTTAAAAGAACCCATAGATATAATATAGTACCCTTATAGTAACCCTTTAAAGGAACCCTTAGGTACCCCTAGATGTCCATGTAGTCGGCCCGGGCGTGTACTGTGAGTGAGTTACCATAAGGCTCCGTGTACCCGTATAGTAATACCCAGAGCGTCCAAGTATTCGGGTCTTTTTAGGTATCAGAAGCCATAAATAAGGACTACTTGGACCCTTAGGGATATAGTATGGCCTCAACGTACTCATATAGGGACCCCGTTAAGGCTTAAGTATCTACGATAAAGGTTTCATGGAGCCTTTGGATGAATTGCAGGGACTTCGGTTTGGTGGCTTCCGTCCTCCAACCGACAAACACTAATGCGGCCTTAATGCCCATATTACATTGGGGGTTCCTTAGTGTAATTATAGTATAATGGGCCCCAAAGCCCTATTCTAATTATCAAGGCCCCTATCTTAACACCTGAACTACTGCTGATGGACAAAATCCTGCATGACCCTAAAGACTCTAGTCTATATGGGAACTATGGCATATTCCTTACAATGGGTCATGCAGGGTTTTGTCCATCAACAGTATGGGGGTCGGTTTGATGGGTTTTCCTTTGCGTGGGGAGTTTATAGGGTGTCATTTATCAATCACTTGGAGGGTCGGGGGACTTAGTAAGTAGGTAGTAAGTAGACTTATAAGTACCCTAAAAAAGACCCTAATTGGGGTTATGGTACTTATAAGTCCCTAAAATGACCAGTTACTAAGTCCCCCGACCCTCCGAGCATCGGAGGTACTAGCGTTTCGGACAGCAGCGTAGGCTAGTAAGTATTTGGAGAAGGTCTGATCCGTAGCATTTCCCTAAGGCTCCATGTAGCCATATAGAATATACTTGGGTCTTAAAGGTGTTCCTATATAGGTACTTCAAGGCCTAAGTATGTACTACATGGCTACATGGAGCCTTAGGGTTTTGGAGTACCTGATTTCTGACGCAAGCTGGTAGATTGTAGGGTTAATTGTTCAGTCCCAGGCTCCATTTACTCCCAGAACAAACTCTAAGACCTACGACCGTAAATGCTGGGTCCTACCTACAGTCTCCATTGTACTTCCTTTTTTGGTGTTACCTTATATTATAGGATCCTAAGCTGGGGAAACCAAAAAAGGAACTACAAAGGAGGCTGCAGGTGCATGCAGGTTTTAGCAAGGAGTCAAGTCGTCAGAAGCATGTTTTACTAAATCGTGTCTCGACGCTCATGGCACAACCGTTACGCGTAAGCCCATTGCTAACCCGAGGATAGTAGGGGTTCTTCAGTTAAATTGCTGACGTGATTGGCTTCTTAGACTCGAAGAGTTTTTAAGCCCGGATACCCCCAAACAGTAGACTTAACGCTGTCAAATAAATCTTTGCCCCAAACTCGGGTTTGGGGGTTTGCCGTGCTCAGGCTACAGCCGTGCAGCACGGCCGCTTTGCTTCGTGAGGTGAGCGAAAACTCTTGATGCACAACGTTCCAAGAAGGATCGTTTGGCATACTGGAGCCCTGAAGACGAGAAATCTTCGGGTTCCTTATCATACTCTTGCTGATGTCTTTCCCTAGATTCCCCTTGATTCAGGAATATGGCTTAAATCATACTATTAGGCTTTGTGTAGTTTAAGACCCATTCATTGGCTAATTTGCTCATTCGTCTGCTTGTTGTATTTATGCACACCCGAATCTTGTGTAGACTGTGACTTGCCCAAGCCTGTGAATGAAATTCATACTCCTGCAATGTCGTAGTCTTTGGATCCACCCGTAGCCCAAATCTGTAGAACATGCAGGATGCAAGACATTCCCGACGGCTCCTCTAGACTCTGTTCCGCTGCTGGAGAGCCTATTTCGGGGTGGCAAAACACCACCTGGGTAGTTGTCAAAATTGTCCCTTTTGGGGTACCCTAAACATTAGGTGCCGTACTATATTAGGGACCCGAAAAGGGACCATAATTTTGACAGCCACCCACCTCTTTTGAATGATTTTAAGGCCGCTTTTAACTGCCCCGCTCTGCGGGCAGGGCTCTGCAGATCAGGGTCCCAACCACCTGCTTAAAAGATCATGGGACTGTGTTACTATATGGATGGTTGTCAAATTTAGGGTCCCCTTGTGGGTACCTATAGTAAACCCCATAAAGTTGGAAACCCGATTAAGGCCAAATAGTGCTGGGATTCCATATACACTACTCTTAAGGGTTGAGGCTATTGGGTTTCCAACTTTTGGGCTTCTACTGTATTATGGTACGGCACCTAATATTTAGGGTGCCCAAAAAACGAACCCGAATTTTGATAACCACCCATATGATCGTTATTCGGGTAGCTACACTGACATGATATTATAACCACGATGAAGGTACTTCTAGTATAACCTTCCTTACTAAGTCCCATGATCTGCTAAGTACGCCCCAAGCACATAGAGGTGACTCCGGCCGAGGGATCAGGGTTCAGGGATTGGAATTCACGGTTTACTCGCAGAAGGTTGGGATTTATCAGTCTCGACAGCACAGCACGCACCCATGAAACCCTGTCAGCAGCCCAGAACATCCATCCACCCAATAACGACTCAACATTACATGTTATGTGAGTGCTCAGGGTTGCTCTTACATTCGAAGTTTTACTGGAGTATTACAGTAGAAGCCAGAAAGTTGGAATATGATTATCGTAACCCCTTTATGGTAAGTTATAAGGTATCCTACCCTGAAACCATATTCCAACTTTCTGGAGTTCCCTTTAATGCCCCTGTTGTAGAAGTTTTCTCTCCAGTCTGCAGAGCTCTGAAGGTCTCAAGTGGGGCTCAAAGACTGAGCTTTGTCTTCTCACTCCCGGGTTGTTCCACAATTGGTCACAGAGTTTGGTGTGTAGAGTTCAGGGTTTGGGACTAGGGTTGTTCCGAAATTTGGCACTCAGTCGTACAGAGTTTATGGTGCAGAGTGCAGAGTTTAGGGTTTGGGATAAGGATTTCGAGTGCGGTATTCGCACAGGGTTCCTGTGCCGGGGTTCAGGGTTTAGGGCTTCACCTATAGGCTTTACGATTACGATGCACCCGAAAAGCCTGCAGAATACCAGGTTACAACCCTTAACAACTCTACTACAGTGGCCATAATAATTAGAGTAGGGTTCCTTCAAAGGGGCCTTTAAGGGATAGTATAAGGGATCTATACCCTGTATTCATGGGGCTTTATCGGGGCCATTACCTACTCTTTTTTGCGAGGTGGGGAGCTACACCCAGAGGGTCCACAGATACCACCATTATGGAATTAGGTCCCGAAAGACCATGGTTTTGGGGGCCTAATTCCATAATGGTAGTGTATATGAACCCTCTTGGACAGGCAGGGTTTCATGAGGGTCCAACGTGCAGGTTCTAGGGTGGCTCTAAAGAACCCTGATGGTCCATGTACCCAAGTAGTAAACGGTTTAGGGTTTAGGGTTTAGGGTAGTATAACTTTGTCATAGTTGGGTAACATTTTAGATTTTTATGGTTACTTAAACCCAAGAAGGAAGAAACATGTACATTTTTAATCTTATCCCAACCAAGAGCTAGATAAACTTTGGCCTCAATGCAGTCCCTATATAGGTACTTTGAGGCCAAAGTATATACTATTTGGGTACATGGACCCTTTAGGGAAGGGTTGAAATCGGATTGCGGTTGTAATCGGATCGCAGGTTCATACGGGGTTAGAAGTTAGAAGAATGCTGAAAGCTGCATAAGGGGCCTATAGGCATATGTAGGTTTACAAGGTTTCTTGCTTTGGTTGTTGTCTGGATTTCGAATGTGTGTGTGTGTGTTGGTTTTAAGATCTACTTGCAATCGGCTTTGGGCTTTGGGTTTTCTTAAGTCTGAGGCGATGTTGTTTAGAGGTGCCGAGAACGAGGAAGCTATTGTCGAAGGTTTGTTCGGCAGTTCCAAAGCAGGGTAAATCGTGTGGTCTTGGGGATTCAGCTTTTTAGGGGCCTAGGGCTGCAGATTTGGGGCTTAGGGGTATGGGATTAGGTGCAGGGCAGGGACCTCACAGTGAACAGTGGTCGAGAACAACCCTCGCATGTTGCGCTTCTTCTGCCGGGCAACTCGGTTAAGGGGTAGGTCTGGGGTCGAATGGCTCTAGTGTTCAGGGTTTAGGGTTTAGGGTTTAGGGTGCAGTTCAACAGCTCAGCCTTCTTGCTTCATTGAAGTGTTCGAGAAGTGAGAAGCTAGACACCCTGTGCCCTGTGCAACCACTGCAACAGCCCAACCCCAAAGTGGTGAATCCTCAAGGGCGGGTTAGACTTCCGGTTTATCTTCAGTTTGTCGGTATGCAAGTTTTACCAAACAAGAGCCCTGGACTCTAGACCTAAACCCTATTACATATCTGTCGTTTCGTTGTAACTGTAAGTTCAAGACAACATTGACTTCTTTGATGGGGGTAGGCGCACAAGCTTGGCAACTTCTTCCGCAAAGGGCAAGGGCATTGGTACACTAGTTTCCAAGAAACTACTATTCCGAAAAGGGTTCCGTTTACTGCAATTATGATTTTAACTACTTATTACTTTTGTAATGCATATTATATGATATCATATACCCCACTTTTTGCTATGCATATTATATGATATCATATGCCCCGATGGGCTGTGGGAGATCCGGGGAAGAGGCGCTTAGATTCCTGCGGATCCAGAGAGTGCCTGAGGCATCCTCGCAGCCGCGAGATGATAAAAAGATGCTAGCCGGGTTTGGGGTTTAGGGTTCTGGATCTTTCAAAAGGCTACTGGGAGGATCATGGGACTTAGTAAGTAAGCTTATAGGTACCATAATTGGGGTTATAAGTATAGTTACCATAATAATAACCCCAGTTACTAAGTCCCATGATCCTTTAAGTAAGCTTTTCTGGGCTAGGGTATTCAGCCACTAAGAAAACCCTCCCAAGAGTGCCCAGGCTCGGCATTGCTGACGGAGGGGCGGCATTTGCATGTCCCGGGCCTAGACCCGCCGGGCTCGGGAGCTTGGCAAGGAGCTATTGTTGATGGACAAAATCCTATAGGGTTCCTTTAAAGGGATCTATAAGGGTACCTTTATAAGGGGCTCCTTTAAGGGATCTATAGGGATTTAGGGTTTAGGGTTTAGGGATATAAATCCTGCATGACCCATGATAAGGAATATACCATAGTGCGCATAGTTTAGAGTCCTTAGGGTGCTGCAGCGGCTGTAAAAATTTGGATAGGGTTTTGGGGGCTCCTTACTATAATTAAAGTAGAACATACCCCGAAACCAGATTCTGATTACCAGGGCCCCTACATTAACTGGTTAGGGACGATATGGGTTTTCTACGGAAGTGGTGAGTACACAGCTGTTGAGGGTTTAGAAAGGCCTCTTCTATTTGTAGATTTCTGTGGTGTGTTGGGGCTTTTGCTAAGGTCCGTGATTCCATATAGTCTAACAAAGTTTCTGTTGCCCGATGATTCGGAACCAAGGTAGTAGGGTAGCCAATCGAAGAGAACTAGGCTGCCAGAAGTACGGGTCTATAAACCCCAGACCCAGATTTCATGGCTCGAAGGTTTAGGTACCTTTGTCAGGGACCCTGCTTGCATTGCAGCTGGTATTTCGTCATGAAGTGGCCTTAGGCAGCACATAGGGCCTTGGAACACAGGATTCTCGCCGACGCGATGGATTTCTATTTCTGTTTTGGGGATGGGGGACCAGAAGCCTAGTGACTCTCCAGAGTTGCCCAAGGAGGCCAAGACCCTCTTACTAAAGATGGTACCCCAAACCACAACACTACGCTTCAATTTAAGGTACGCGCGTTTTTCCTGGCTGAGGGGTATTGGACTGTCTGGGTGGCTGAATTGCTGGTTTTCTTGGTTGTGTTCGGGCTGGCATGCAGTACGTGCCCATACCAAATAAAAGAATAAGCAGCCCAAACAAAGACAAACAACATGAGCACTCCGTGTCTCTCTATATTTCGCTCACTCGCCTTCAAATTGAGTGTAGGCTGTCTTGTCATGAGTTCTTGATTGACAGAGACCGACCTGCGTGTAGACTTTGAACTAAACCCTGAACATCCACATATCTAACAGTTCGTTCATATGTCACAGAGAGAGAGAGAGAGAGAGAGAGAGAGAGAGAGAGCTATATATGTTCCGTGTTCGTATTTATGGCACCTGATCATGGTGCCCAGGTCTATGCGGGTGCTGGAATCGTGCCGGGGTCCAACCCCACCGAGGAGTGGGATGAGATTAGCCCCTGGCTCAGCAATCTAGAACCCAGAGGCGCCTCATATACTACCATTATGGTATGGTATGGTATTAGGTCCCCAAAACCATGGTTTTAGGGACCTACTTCCATAGTGGTAGTATATGAGGAGCCTTTGGGGAATAAATTTATAGGGTTTAGGTGGAATCTAACCGAAGAGCGAAGTAGGCAGGGCTTCTTATTTGAGATGAAGGAATGTGGCCGAGGGCCTTATTATGCTAGTAGTTGGATGATGAC